TAGTGGATATTAATTTAATTTTGTTTAAATTGTGGTGGATCAAAGAATATTAATGATTATGGCTCATATTGAGTTCAAACATTAGGCTCATAATTGTCATGTGTGATCGAGATCTAAACTTTTAAGTGGTGGATCCATGGGGAGTGTATATTAATTTTATTTTGTTTAAGTTTTTGTTGTGGATCAAAGGATATAAATGATTATGGGTAATTGATTTCAACATTAAGCTTACATATCATGTGTGATCAAGATCTAAAGTTATAAGTGGCGGATCCATGGGGAGTGGATATTTATTTTATTTTGTTTGAATTGTGGTGGATCAATGAAGGATATTAATAATTGAGTTTAAACATTAAGCTCATATGTCATGTGTGACAAAGATCTAAACTTGTAAGTGGTGGATCCATGGGGAGAATTTTAAACCCCACTGGGTTTTTGTGGGTTTTTTCATGGGGTAATTTTATGTACATGTTTCCCAATGGGGTTTTTATTTTCGACACTAAATATCTCAAACACTAGCAGAAAATGTTGCATTTTTTTTATTTCAGAAATTCATTTAGGTAGAAAAATCCCACCATTTAAAAAATTCCTAGAGGATAGCTTCAAAGGAAAAGGGTGCACAAGTTCAGAAAAATGTCCATTCCGAAGTTGTCCGTCCCACTGTTCAATATTCATCTGTAATTTTTTTTCAAAGTGATTCTTTCTTTGGACTATATTGACACAATATAAGGTATATTGCTGATTTTTAGCTGTAGCTAAATGCAGTTGAATCAAATTCATATAGGAGAAGAAGAAATCCTATAGGAATTTAAAATTTCCTACAGGATATTTTTCTCCCTTAGGAGCAAGTAAATAATTCAAAAGTGTACAAATTTCCTACAGGAGTTTCTGACTGAAAAGAGAATCCTACAGGAATTTAAGAAAACCTATGGGATATATTTTTCCTAAGGGATTTTTTCTCTCTCCTATAGGAAATTGTATTCCTACAGGAGATTAAATTCTCCCATAGTAGTTTAATTTCCTGTAGGATTTCTTAAATATCCCACAGGAAATTAAGAAATCCTACAGGATTTTGATAATATCCCTCAGGAATTTTATTTTTCCTATAGGAACTTTATTTTTCCCATGGGAATTTTTTGTTCAAAGGTAATTATCTCACCTGACAGGTGAGATTTACCTGTAACAAAGGTAGTTATGAACTCTGTGAGTGATGGTGTACCACTTGGTATACATGATTTTTATGTGAAATGAGGATTTGGCGGGCGCCAAAATGCCACTTTTGAAGTGGCATAATTATCCGGCACAGTGTTTATATAATCAATAGAGCCCCGACTTAACACCAAAACCCCTGACCCTGGGGCCATAAAATTCACAATTTTGGAAGAGGCACTCTTGCTCATCATAACTATGTGCTAAGTTAGTTTATCTAATACCCAGGAGCAGAGAAGAAGATTTTCAAAGAAATAATGCATTTTCACTATATAATCTATAGAGCCCCGCCCTAACACCAGAACCCCTGACCCTGGGGCCATAAAATTCATTATTTTGGAAGAGGCACTCTTGCTCATCATAACTATGTGCTTATTTAGTGTATTTAATACCCAGGAGCAGAGAAGAAGATTTTCAAAGAAATAATGCAATTCACTATATAATCTACAGAGCCCCGCCCTAACACCAGAACCCCTGACCCTGGGGCCATAAAATTCACAAATCTGGAAGAGGCACTCTTGCTCATCATAACTATGTGCTTAGTTAGTTTATCTAATACCCAGGAGCAGAGAAGATTTTCAAAGAAATAATGCATTTTCACTATATAATCTATAGAGCCCCGCCCTAACACCAGAACCCCTGACCCTGGGGCCATAAAATTCACAATTTTGGAAGAGGCACTCTTGCTTATCATAACTTTGTGCTTAGTTAGTTTATCTAATACCCAGGAGCAGAGAAGAAGATTTTCAAAGAAATAATGCATTTTCACTATATTATCTATAGAGCCCCGCCCTAACACCAGAACCCCTGACCCTGGGGCCATAAAATTCACAAATCTGGAAGAGGCACTCTTGCTCATCATAACTATGAGCTTATTTAGTGTACTTAATACCCAGGAACAGAGAAGAAGATTTTCAAAGAAATAATGCATTTTCACTATATTATCTATAGAGCCCCGCCCTAACACCAGAACCCCTGACCCTGGGGCCATAAAATTCACAAATCTGAAAGAGGCACTCATGCTCATCATAACTATGTGCTTAGTTAGTGTATTTAATACCCAGGAGCAGAGAAGAAGATTTTCAAAGAAATAATGCAATTCACTATATAATCTACAGAGCCCTGCCCTAACACCAGAACCCCTGATCATGGGGCCATACAATTCACAAATCTGGAAGAGGCACTCTTGCTCATCATAACTATGTGCTTAGTTAGTTTATTTAATACCCAGGAGCAGAGAAGAAGATTTTCAAAGAAATAATGCATTTTCACTATATAATCTATAGAGCCCCGCCCTAGCACTAGAACCCCTGACCCTGGGGCCATGAATTTCACAATTTTGGTAGAGGACTCACTGCTCATTACATTCATGCCAATAGTTTGCCTGCTTGATATCCAGGAGTAAAGAAGAAGATTTTTAAAGATTTCATTAATTTTAGTGGTTTTGGCCCCACCCCTCAGGCCCCAGGGGGGCGGGGACCATGAAATTCACAATTTTTGTTCCCCTTTACCCATAGATGCTGTATACCAAATTTGATTGAAATTGGTTCAGTGGTTTCAGAGAAGAAGCTGAAAATGTTCAAATGTTAACACACGACGCACGACGGACGACGGATGACGACGGACGAAAACGGATAGCAATAGGTCACCTGAGTTACTCAGGTGACCTAAAAATAAAATTATCTTCACTTTTGGCACACAACTGTATCAAGAATAGCAAAGCCAGGATTGGTATTGAGACTACTTTTGGATTTAAATTATTAAATGATAAACCAATTTCTACTTTTTCCTAGCCACAGTGCTCAGGTGAGCGATGTGGCCCATGGGCCTCTTGTTGTAGATATGTAATAATTTTTTCTTATTGATATTTTCAATCTTTCTTTTCCACTTTTAGATTCATTCTTTTTTTAGCTCTACTGGTCAGAGACCAGAAGAGCTTATGCGATAGTAATGAGTCCGGCGTCCGTCCTTCTGTCCGTCTAGCTGTCTGTCTGTCCGTCTGTCTGTAAACAATTTTTCAAAATGCTACTCCTCCTACAATTTTAGTCTTGGCACACAAGTAGACTACACTAAGATACATAGAATAGTGCATCGGTTTTTAATTTCGATGAACGGTGTTGCCATGGTTACTAAAAATAGAATTTTCTGTGAAATTCCTTTAAAACGCTACTCCTTCTACAGTTTTGGTCTGATTTCAATATAACTTGGCACACAAGTAGACTACACTAAGATACATAGAATAGTGCATCGGTTTTTGATTTTGGTGAACAGTGTTGCCATGGTTACTAAAAATAGAATTCTCTGTGAAATTCCTTTAAAACACTACTCCTTCTACAGTTTTGGTCTGATTTCCATATAACTTGGCACACAAGTATACTACACTAAGATACATAAAATAGTGCATCGGTTTTTGATTTCGATGAATGGTGTTACCATGGTTACTAAAAATAGAATTCTCTGTGAAATTCCCTTAAAACGCTACTTCTTCTAGTTTTAGTTTGATTTCAAAATAAGTTGGCACACAAGTAGACTACACAAAGATACATAAAATAGTGCAATGGTTTTTGATAAGTACAAAGCAGTAGAGCTACAGTCTCGACAGAGACTTCTGGTTTCTATTTGTCTCAACATGAACATTATCAAAGTATGACTTAACACTCAAATTTACAGATTTATTTTGGAATTTAATATACAGGGATCAGTATGTTGACATGCTTCTACACTCAACAAAGTTGATCAGAAGAATTTAGATTTTGGCTAAATTTTACATGTAGCTACTATTTATATTTTTCATAACCTTAAAGCTTAATTAGAAAATTACACTTTAGTTACTCATGAAAAAAGTAAAGTCTAGAATAGATACATTAAGTTACACTTAATTTAGCAATCTTCATTGAAATTACAGTGAAACTTGTCTCTTTTGGATCTTGTATAATCCAGAATCTTGTCTAAAACAGTGTAAATCAATTGCTTAAAATGCAAACTGGTGAATGTTGTCTAAATTCTGGACAGTTTATTTGGAATCAGCAGGGTTGGAAATTACAGCCCGCCCGACCGCCCGAGACGGTCTGTTTCTCAGGCGGACGGGTACAAAACTGCAGTTGACAGCCCGGTGGTCGGGCTAATTTTAATAGCCAGATCTTAAATTTATACCGAGAATTTCTATATTTACTTTATTAACAAAAATCTACAGACTATGTGGTGTATCTCACTAATTTATAAACCTGTCTGGTTTTATTACTGCTGAATTAAGTGAAGCTGCAGGGCACCTGTTTTGCCACTGCATCGAATACTCTGTCGGAACTCCTCTAGATTTTACACTGGGGTGTATGAAAAAGTCCATGGTTACTTATGCAAAACAGCTGGGCAGCTATCGATGTCTTGCCAAAGATGATTGTGTGAAATGATTTTAGATCTTTTTATCGTCAAATAATTTATTCATGCTGTACTGCATGTGCATACAGACATATTTTAACTATTTAATTGTCGAGTTTTTAACCATCTAAGAAATTATACGTCTAATAATCATAAGTAGTTCAATCAGCATGCAGTTAAGTCTGAGATATATTTAAGTGCATCATTTTTTTTTTAGAAAAAGAATTTAAAATTGAAAACGAATTTTGAAGAGAACAAAATTATGTTAGTTGTGCAAAAAATTAATTAAAATATGCATCCCCTGGTTTATGATCAGATATGGTTTCAAATGTTGTGTAAAATGTGAAAAATTCCAAAGGGGCTGTAAGTCCTGTGTTACAAATGTAAATATAAGCTTTATTTATAGTAAATTCATAATGATGAGCATTCTTATCAGGACTGGTAGATTTCGAGCAGGACTGGTAACTTTTAAAATGTAGCCAGCCCTGTGGCTGGCTGCAATTTTCAGTAAATTTCCAACCCTGGAATCAGTGGTATAGATCTGGATTATGCAAGTTTTACTGTACTTGTGTCTGTCTTTACAGAGAGTGTCTTTAACTTTGATGACCTGGAGATGAAAAGTTCAATGTTAAATCAAAGTAAAGAAGAGAGATTTACCATTAATGTTCAGGTAGAGAATCTGTTACATTTACTATTAATGTGTAGGTAGAAATTGAATCTATTTTAGCTTAGACACCGTAAAATTTGAAAATTGGATGTACACCTTGTTCTTTTTAGTTTTTTAAACTAAAAAATAACCATTTTTTCCCCATCAAATCATAACTTAATTTGATGTCTTTTATGAAATATTATATTAATTAAATTGTTTTGAACTAATTTCTGATTTATTTGGAATTTAAATGCATGACTATGTGTATTTTCCACATTTTTGTATCTTTTGTCTATATTTATTCATAATACCAGAATTTTAGAAAATCTTGTGTATATTGGTAAAATTAGTCAGTAAATCTGTTAATTGTAAATCTTGCATTTTCCTATTTCAGCAATATAAGAGAAACGAGAAAGCATTTGAGCATGATCTGCATAGATTTATGTTGAGGAACGGCCTGACAGTTAAGAAGACAGTGATTTGGAGCAACACGCCTGTCGGTCTGTTCCAACTCTTCATGGCTGTACACGACAGAGGGGGGTATGAAAAGGTGAGTGGTTAAATAAAGCTGATATCTACAGTCAAACCTCATTATCTCACAATCAAACTCAACTGGACTGAGCAGATATCCAACAATTCAAGATGCCAAGCGTAAATTACTTGAAGAATAAGGCATTGAGAATTCAAAATTACTTTAAAAGACAGCCATGGTATATTGGAGATATCAGTGTATATAATACCTAAGTTTATCTGTAATTTTATTTTTAGAGATGCTTAAAAATCAATAATAATTCTGAAAGGCATGATTTGCATCAGGATGTTAATTTTATAACAGAAATGTTTGGTTTAAAAGGAACTCAATATGTTACTGTTTCTTTGAATGGATTGAAATTTCAGAAAAAGGATAGATTAATTTTAGGGAACAAAGTTTTACAGGAATGCACAATGATGAGTTCCTATTGAGCTAAATACATGTGATTAACCTTTGAATCTAGAACATAATCATTTGAATTAACAGAATCTATTTCTTAAAGCATTTCTTTTTCCACCTAGGTTTGTGTTAATATGCAGTGGTCATCAGTATACAGAGAGGTGACTGATTCAGCAGCCAAAGGGCAGTGTGGTTATAGAGCCAAGTTGTTCTACCAAAAGTAAGTGTCTAGTGATAACTTAAAAAATCAACATTGCAGAGCTAGCTGAATATCATATTCCTGACCTTGAAATCCTTGTTCAGTTTAAAGTTTACCTGTTGCTTTGAAGCGAAAAAAAGACTTTTCAGGTGTTGGAAAAAGGATCAGTCATCACCTTAATAAATATTTTTTCAAATGCACTATAAATATTGTAGGAACATTTACCCCTATGAACTGTACATAAAAGGTAAGGCTTACCAGGAAGTGATTAGAAGTATAAAAGGAGGCTGGAGGATTGGGGAGACGAAGAAAAAATCTGTCAAGTCTGACGAGGCAGAGGAGAGTGTACAGATAGGACTGGAGAAGTTAAATCAGTATGATAAGGAATCCAAGCAAAGTAAGTCACATTGAATAGATCAGACAAGCTAAATCAGTATGATAAGGAATCCAAGCAAAGTAAGTCACACTGAATAGATCAGACAAGTTAAATCAGTATGATAAAGAATCCAAGCAAAGTAAGTCACATTGAATAGATCAGACAAGTTAAATCAGTATGATAAAGAATCCAAGCAAAGTAAGTCACATTGAATAGATCAGACAAGCTAAATCAGTATGATAAAGAATCCAAGCAAAGTAAGTCATACTGAATAGATCAGACAA